TACAACGAAGATGGTTCAGATCATATTCAGGAGAACCTCTTGACTGCATGAGCTATTTTCAGATACTCAATGTCAAAGAAGATAGCGGGTCCTGCACTAAACAGGAGACCTCTAAGGACTCTTCATAATGTAAGATGCTTGGATTCACTTTCATTCATTCATTTGTAACTTGACAAATGCAGGTGGCCTGTGAAATATTGATATCATTAGAACAGAATAATAGAGTTGGAAAGAACTTGGAGGACTTCTAGTCCAATCCCCTGCTCAAGCAGGAGCCCAATACCATTTCAGTTAAATGATTGTCCAGTCTCTTTTTGAAAGCCTCTAGTGATGGAGCAAGCACAACTTCTGAATGCAAGTTGTTCCATTGGTTGATTGTTCTCACTGTTATGAAATTTCTCCTTAGTTCTAGGTTGCTTCTTTCCTTGGTTAATTAAAAGAAAAACTGTCCACTAACTTAAATAGTTTTTCTTTTAACTTTTTCTATTTCTGTGGATGGTCTTAGGGGAATTAATATAAAATTAATATGTTTGACCACACAGAAGTTCATCTAATAGAAGATGTAATATATACTGCTAATAGTAATGCTTTGTTACAGACTTTAGCAGCACAATCCAAATTCAGATACAATTCCAAGACAACAAAATGTTAAATTGTAGTAGGTCCTATACACATATTTGCCTGGACACACAAGAGATTAAAGAATGCAAACCAGTTCTGTCCCCAAATTTTAAAGAAATGATCTCTTCTTCAGACTTTCTTATATTCACTGAAGGTCCAAACATCCACATTATATGAAGCATTTGTGCTGCACCTCAGGAGGATCTGGACAGACTTGAACACTGGGCGCTATCTAACAAAATGAAATTCAATGGTGAAAAAAGTAAGATTCTACATTTAGGCAAGAAAAACCAAATGTACAGGTATAATAAAGGGGGTACCTTGCTCAATAGTAGTAACTGTGAGAGGGACCTCGGAGTCCTAGTGGACAATCACTTAAATATGAGCCAGCAGTGTGCTGTAGCTGCCAAAAAGGTCAACACAGTGCTGGGCTGCATTAACAGAGGGATAGAATCAAGATCACGTGAAGTATTAATACCACTTTACAATGCCTTGGTAAGGCCACACTTGGAATACTGCATCTAGTTTTGGTTACCACGATGTAAAAAAGATGTTGAGACTCTAGAAAGAGTACAGAGAAGAGCAACAAAGATGATTAGGGAACTGGAAGCTAAAGCATATAAGGAAAGGTTGATGGAATTGGGTATGTCTAGTTTAATGAAGAGAAGGACGAGGGGGGACATGATAGCAGTATTTCAATATCTCAGGGGCTGCCACAAAGAAGAGGGAGTCAAGCTATTTTCCAAGGCACCTGAAGGCAGGACAAGAAGCAATGGATGGAAACTAATCAAGGAGAGAATCAACCTAGAACTAAGGAGAAACTTCCTGACAGTTAGAACAATTAACCAGTGGAACCACCTGCCTCCAGAAGCAGTGAATGCTCCAACACTGGAAGTTTTTAAGAAGAGACTGGACAGCCATTTATCTGAAATGGTATAGGGTTTCCTGCCTGAGCAGGGGTTGGACTAGATGATCTCCAAGGTCCCTTCCAACTTTTTTTTTATTATTATTATTATTATTATTATTATTATTATTATTATTATTATTATTATTATTATTATTATTATTATTATTATTATTATTATTACTTCACCATGCACATTGGCAAGAGCAGTTCAAATCATTACATAAAATAGTTCTGAAGTAAGAATTATTACCTGGCACGACGTATCAGATGCAATGGTCCTGAAGAAATTGGCTGCACCGATTCATCCATTAGAGGATGTTTCCTGATAAAGTCTATAGTATCACTTGGTATATCTTTAGAAGTTTCGTAATTTTCAAGAGATCCAGACCCAGCACAGGAACCTGGTCTAAACAATGTGGGGAATAAATGTGATTCTATTTACTGCTTTATCATAAATATTCTATATTTTTAAATACCTATCATTAGGTGAAAATATCCATAATTTTTTATAGTATATAATAAGCCAAGAATTGGATTCAGATGTAGATTAATGAAACATGGTTGGAGAAAAGAGAAATTCCCATTCTCTCTCATATAAAAGAGGAATAATTAGTAAGCTAGGTTCAGAGATCACACAACTCTGTAATTTAGTTTGATTTGCTTTAATTAAATTTGAATCCAGTCATTATATTTTGTTAATTACTTTTATGGATTAATATCACATGTGTTCTAGGCCACAATTACTTGCTTAGTGAATCATGAGTAGAACACAACAGTGGCTTAATAAGGTATGCTAATTCAATTTCAACTTTATCCTTTTATGTCATGGGTATATTTGAGATTTAGGCAAAAACTGTTTTGCAATATTAAAAAGAAAAGAACATAAAAACAACTAACCAAACAACAGTGGTTTAATGGTATGAGGAAATTAGAGGGACATTTAAGCGTAGAGACTCTGTTTACTTTACACAATCACTTCCAAAACTTTGCTCCCTCACAGTAGGGAAATGTCATGATATCCCCTGATATTTTCTTTGTTGCTCTGTTTCTATTATTCAAGCTCTACTGTTCTTTAAATAATTGCCTTAAGTTTATTATGGAAAATGAAGTGTCAGGCAGCAACTGCCCCGGCCCCTGCCCCGCCTTGCCCTGCCCTGTGGCAATGGCACCCCTGCCCTGCCTCGCCTTGCCTTGCCTTGCCTCACCCTGCAGGACGAGCCTCCTGCCCACCACCCCACCTGCCATAGATTCCCTGGATCTCCCCCGGCCCTCACAGGCATCCTTCCCATGAGGTGATGATGCCCACCTTGGCCACACCCACTCAGTCTTCCATAATCACCACAGCCACACCCACCAGTGGGCCACGCCCACCTGGCACCCGGCAATAAATAAGTGGGTTTTGGGTTGCAGTTTGGGCACTCGGTCTCTAAAAGATTCACCATCACTGGGTTAGATGATTAAAGTAGCAGGCTAGAAACTGGGAGAGCATGAATTCTAGTTCCACTTTAGACATAAAGCCAGCTGTGTGACCTTAGGTCAGTAACACTCCCTGCATCTTGGGAGGAAGCAATGACAAACTGCATCTGAAATCTTGCCTTTATATTAATTATATAATTATATATATTATATTAGTTAGTAGTAAAATTAAATGCTAGTTTCTAATATTTTTTCACTTCTGCCATGGAGCTATGTTTCTAATGTCTCTGCAGATTCCATTCTTACTTACTTACCTGGGTGTAGGTACATTGCGTTCAGAAACAGGTGTCCAAAATGAAGTTTGAGTAGTTTTTTCTTTGAAACTCCCAGTAAAAGCCTTATCTATGTCCTCAATATCAAAAGCACAGAGAGCAGAGCTAAGGACACTGCAATGTGACATTTCCAAAAATAGTTAATTATCTTATAAGGTACATCCATACCTTTGGAAAAAAACATTTTAAATAACAATCTCTCTGTCACTAGGCTCAAAGTTTAGCCCTCTCCCCTGGTAGTAGCAAATAATGAACTGCTACTTTCATGACAGCTATCTGAAATTTTATTTCAATACCGATAGGTCTTTGCCTGTCTCTCTCTCTCTCTCTCTCTCTCTCTCTCTCTCTCTCTCTCTCTCTCTCTCTCTCTCTCTCTCTCTCTCTCTCTCTCTCTCTCTCTCTCTCTCTCACACACACACACACACACACACAAATGCCTGGATAACATTTAGGTGGGAACCATCAAGTAATTCACAGCTGTAATCTAGACATTTTAGAAGAAAGCAATGATAGCCTAATTGTTTTCAAGAAAGCTACATGTACCTAGAAAAGGCTTAGGAATTCTGTTTAATTCAAACATTTTATCTAAGATTAGGCAATTTATACTTCATACAAGTGACAAAAATCATTCAAAGGCAGATCCTACCTTTCTACTTTCAACAATTGGTTCTAAAAATCAAAATGATTTTAAAGATCTCTAGATCTACCTGAAATACATTTCTTTTAAAATGGATATTTTCATAAATTATTAAATGTAATATAATTAATAATCCAATCATTTATTTAATTAATTAAATTATTACATGCAAAAATAATATTAGTGGATTTAATAATCCACTAAGATTATTTTCTGTATGTAAATTCACAGCAAAAACTGTTTTGCAATATTAAAAAGAAAAGAACATAAAAACAACTAACCAGACAACAGTGTTTTAATGGTATGAGGAAATTAGAGAGACATTTAAGTGTAGAAACTCTGTTTACTTTACACAATCACTTCCACAACTTTGCTCCCTCATAGTAAGGAAATGTCATGATATCCCCTGATATTTTCTTTGTTGCACTGTTTCTATTATTCAAGCTCTACTGTTCTTTAAATAATTGCCTTAAGTTTATTATGGAAAATGAAGTTCAAACGCATCAAACACCATATCTTAGAATATTATATTTGAGAGACTACCATTAGTATAAATACAACTTTGGAAACACAACTATAATTATAAAGCTTTGGCTACTGAACACTCTGTGGTTTCAGTGGAAAGAAGGTGACAATGAATTAGTCCAAAGATCAATAGAGTTCATTTTCACTAGTTGAAAAGCAGTCATTCCAAACTTAGATCACCACTTACACAATGTGAAACTCTGGTTTGCTCTTAGATCTACATATATCATCATAGCATGAGCATATGTGCCCAGCTCTCTGATGCATGATTCTGCTTAATTATTTTTTATTTTCCAGTTGAGGAATCTATGTTCAATTGAGGAAACTATAAAGAATTAATATAAGGTTTTAAATACAATCTAAAACAGAAAAACAAAACAATCTTATTGAGGTTGAAGCTCGTCATGAAGAATGATCCCTTGAAATTATTGCTATAGGCTATCAACCCACATATGTTATGCCTGAATACAGTGTTTATTAAATGCTAATATGAGATATTACATATGTATCATGCCTTAAGAATTATATTCCATTTATTTCATTATTAAGCATTGTCACTATATTACCTAGTTGGATTAGTAGAGTAGATTGCAAAAATTACATTCCGACCATAAACTGGTGTAATATCTGAAACTGCTTTAAGATGGTAACTTGAGCCACCAGGAATTGCACAGGTCAGTCTTGCTTTCAGGAAAGAAGTCCATTCATTCTCTGGAAATTCTGGATTTCCACCAATATCATTCTTACAAACTCGAGCTACTCTGGATATAATTACCTATAGAGGAGAAAGATTATAAAGGTAATAAGATGATAAATAAATAAAGTTGTAATAAGCAACAGCTTATACAATTTCCATTTTTTAGGAAAAGAAAGAATGATAAAACATGTGAAAATGATTAAAATGGATCTTAAGTTTCCTAGGATATATTTATGAAGATGGTAAAATGCTACATTCTTACCACTCTTTCACATGAGAGCAAAATTCATTTCTAAACACAATAACTACAATGTTGCAAGAACAGAGCTAACTTTGGAATCCATGAAAATTTTTCAGGCTTTTACCTTTTCCATATGTTCATATTCTACAGAGACTTCCCGAAAGAAGAAATAGACATAGTTGCCATAATCAAACCCATGAACAAAGGAAGGTTCTGCAAATAAGCCAGGATGTTTGTGTCAAGATACATAACACTGAAACATCAAGTTTAGCAAAACTGAAAATGACACAATATAGTAGAAAATTGTACAAAGTTTACAAAGAATTATTTTTCATTAAGAACTTGGAAATCTTGCTTTATTCTTAATTATCAGTGTCATATTTGTGATTTTAATATGTTAGTGAATAATTATCTACAGCAATTAGGTAAGTATCTTGGTGTCAATGCTGCTAATATTGAATATTATTGCTTTGACAAGATATGCAAAACTGTCTGGTATTTTTAGAGTTAATTCAGATGATGATGGGGCGGAGAAACTGTCTGGTATTTTTAGAGTTAATTCAGATGATGATGGGGCGGAGAAAGATAAGGACTGCGCGTGGGAAGGCAACGGAAGTAAATCTTTGTCCTCCAGGTTGATTGGAAAATGTGAATGATGACTGCAAAAAGGGGGAGGGGAATAGCCTGGAATGTTATGTGCAAAGGAAGGGAAATTCAGATCTTGGTATCCATCCATGTAGTGCCGACACTCTGTTACACTGTAATAAAGGCTTTTTAGGATAAAAAATGCCTGGAAGTTCTTTGAAGTGTTTCATTAGTCGGAACCTTGACAACATGCCAAGATGAACAAACTTCTCAAACCGTTTAGGGGTCCCGAGCCCCAGTTGCTGTTCCTAAAAAAAAAAAAAAAAAGGAATAAGCTGACGAAGATTTGGGGAAGATCTCATTATGGAAGAAGAAAGATTGCCTGAGGCCAGCACCCCGGCAGCAGCAGCTTCCCCAGGGGGAGGAGCGACACCCGGCAAGCTGGGGGAGAAAGAACTTTGGCAGATCTCCCAGCTAGGAGCAAAGACTTGAAAAGCAGAATGGTGGAGAGCTAACGAATCGCTTGCCACTCAGGTTTTGGGTGAGTCACTGGAAAGATTTCAAAACCCAGAGGTGAAAAGCAGAAATCAATTCCTGCAGAGAGGAGCCTACAGCCCTTCCATTGCAGATCAGAAAGCTTTCAGATCCTGTCTTCCCCTGCAAGGGACTCCAACCCTGAAGAGAGAGGGAATCCCAGTCTGAGCTGGGATGGGGAGATTGGGTTCCCCAGCAGGCAGTTGGTCAGCGACCTCTGATCTTGCCACAACTAATAGAAGCCTTGCAACAGCTTGGGATGGTGCAGAAGCCAGAGATCAGCAGCTGGTGGGAGAATAACCACAGCAAGGAGATTGGCCACAGCCCCTGAAAGTGCAACCCCTAAGCATAAATCTGTAGCCAGGATGGGGCCAGCAGCAACAGCCACAGTGGGGACCCCAACAGCCTATAATTACACCACTTTTCAGATCAACCTTCGATGGGGACCCAGAGAAGCTGATTTTTTTCCTCAACCAAGTACGCTCTCATTTGAATTGCTGGGCCTATCTCTACCCAGACCCAGGGGCCATGGTCAATGTGATTGCATCCAGCCTACAGGGAGAAGAATCCGAATGGCTGAACAATTTATATAATGAGCAAGCCCCAGAATTGGAGGACCCCCACCTCTTCTTCCTAGGGCTGAGAGAAAGAGTTGAGGAGCCATCTCTTGACCTAAAGGCAAGAGAACAAATCCACAAAATAAAACAAGCCGGCAGGCCTGCCCTAGAGTACGTGCGAGAATTTTGCAAGTTAGCAGGTCGAATAGAGGGGTGGCCAGAGCAATCCCTAATCTATCACTTCATAGAGGGATTAACGATCACCTCTCTCAGGCCTGCATCTATTGAGCAGTACCTGACCAGTTGCAAGAATGGTACCAGGCAGCAGTGAAGCTAGACATTCAGCTCGCCCGCTATAAGAAGCTTCCCCCACCTGAATCCGAGCAGCAGCCAGAGCAACCTGAACAGCCATCACCCCCCACAAAAATCTCCAACTACTGCGATGGCTGAGAGACCCAAGCCACCTGCAGGCCCATCAATTAAGTGTTTCTGGTGTGGACAGGAGGGACATCGAGCAGCAAACTGTCCAGTCCCCTACTCCTGACTACAGAGCAGACTTAAACCAACGGCGGGAAGGAAACCTGCCTAGCGGCTGACGAGAGAGAGATCCAACTGGGTCATGCAGGAACCTGTTGCCCAGATTACACCCCTCACACAGGAGGATACCAAGACTCCTGGTGGACCTGCTCCTGCTCTACCCTCCTTTGACAGCGATGATGAAGGAGAGAATGACCCAATGGTGAGTCAACACGTCTTGCATTTTTCACTGGCTGCCAAACTTATAATCCCTAAGTCTGGGGCACAAATGGACTTAAATGTGCTAGTCGATTCTGGATGCACCCGCTGCATTATTAGTCTGCCATTTGCCATGAAAATGGGCATACGGGCAAAACAGCTCTCCAAACCTGTGAGGTTTGAGCAAGCTGATGGCTCTCTGATGGGAGGGACTCTTGTCACACAATTAACTGAGCTCTTACACCTAGAAATAAGTGCACACTGGGATTTTATTCACTTCCTAGTGGCTCCAAAAATGACTGAGACTGTAATCCTAGGGCTAGCCTGGTTGGACAAATGGAAGCCGTTTATCTGGTGGGAGAAAGGAATGAGAACTGTGAGACTACCTATATGGCCTAAACCTCCCACTGATTCAACTGACGTTGCGGAACACCTTAGGCCACCCAATGAGTGAGTGCACATGGCTGCCCCACCGCCACCAGGCGAACCACTCATCCCCAACGAATATAGAGACCTGGACGGAGGCATTTAGTGAAAAAGAATGCGATGCCCTGCCCCCTCATAGACCTAATGACTGCTCTATCGAACTGGTGCCAGGAGCCAAACTCCCACACCCAAAAATGTATGCTATGTCCCCCCTCGAAATGGAGGAGATGCAGTAATACATCAACAAAAACCTAGCGAGGGGGTTCATTGAACGAGTCAAATCTACCGTGGGAGCCTCGGTGTTGTTCAAATAAAAAAAAGATAGGTATCTTCATCTCTGCATAGACTATAAGAGTCTCAATGCTGTGAGTGTGGAAAACAAATACCCCATCCCCCTCCTAAAGGACTTATTAACCCATCTGGCTAAGGGGAGTGTCTTCACTAAATTAGACCTGAGAGAGGTATATTACTGAGTGAGAATAAAGGAGGGGGACGAGTGGAAAACTGCCTTCAACTGCCCCATGGGGAGCTATCAATTCAAAGTCATGCCATTTGGACTACAGGGGCCCCCAGCCGTATTCATGCAGTTGATTTCTACATGATCACTTGTACAAAGGGGTTCTGGTGTATCTTGATGATATACTGATATACAGCACGAACATGACTGATCACATAAAGCTGGTGAGAGAGGTGTTAAAGAAACTATTGAATGCCAAGCTTTATGCCAAATTGTTGAAATGTGAATTTCACCAGACTCGATTAGATTATCTTGGCTACAGAATTTTCAATGAGGGCATTGAAATGGATCCAGCCAAGGTGAAAGCTATAATCGAATGGCAGCCCCCAAAAACTTGCAGACATCTCCAGAGCTTTCTAGGTTTTGCCAACTTCTATTGTCAATTCATCCCCTCTTTTGCCGAGATTGCCCTACCCCTTACAGAACTACTCAAAACAGGCAAAAGAGGAGGGAAGCCGTGACCAGGCCAACCACTAGCATGGACGATGGGCTGTCAAACAGTTTTTGAGAATTTAAAGAGACTATTTGCTGCTGAACCGATCCTAAAGCACCCCTGCCCAGGGCAGCCCTTTGTAATTCAAGCCGATGCAAGCTATGTGGCAGTTGGAGCTATATTACTGCAAAAGTACAAAAGTGGGGTCCTGCAACCCTGCGCCTACACCTCTAAAAAATTTACTGAAAGTGAGCGGAGATGGGCAATCTGGGAGAAAGAGGCCTTTGTGATTAGGTGGGGGCTGTTGAACTGGTGAAACTATCTAGAAGGGAGCAAAGTGCCTTTTGGAGTATGGACAGATCACAAAAATCTAGAGGCACTGAAAACTCTCCGCAAATTATCTCCAAAGCAAGTATGGTGGTCACAGTACTTTAACCATTTCAACTTCACTCTAAAGTACATACCGGGAAGAAAAAACTTTCTAGCTGATGCACTATCAAGATTGCCCCAGTACAAAAGTGAACGCGAAGAGGTTAATGAGGCAATTATCTCCAGTCCACAAACTGCCACTCAACTCACGCCCTGCAGAGTCCCTAATCCTGATGACCCTGGGGTAAAGAAAATAAAAAAGAGCTCTTCACCGATCAAAGGTTCAAAGATAATCAAACCTCCCTAACATGCAGAGATGGCCTGGCTTACAAAGGGGGGAAACTATATTTGCCTGAAGCTCTCCATCTTAATGCTCTCAAACACAGCCATGATGTAAAACAGGCTGGACACTTTGGATATTTAAAAACTCTACACCTCACCCGCTGGCAATTTTGGTGGCCTGGGCTGAAACAGAATGTGGAAAACTATGTAAAGAGTTGTACCATATGTGCCACAATGAAAAGCATCCCAGAGAAAACCCACGGGTTACTGCAACCGGTGCAGACCCTTCTCAACCCTGGGAAGAAATATCTATGGACTTTATAGTAGACGTACCTGAAAGTAGAGGAAATACTGTCATCTGCACTGTGATAGACCTGTTCTCGAAGCAGGCTCATTTCATCACCTGCAAAGGACTCCCATTTGCCCAACGACTGACCAAACTGTTCCTGAAACATATCTAATTATACCCCTAAGTGTATAATTTTGGACAGGGGTGTGCAGTTCACAGCGAAATTTTGGAGTTTTCTTAAATTAATTGGATCATCTCAAGGCTTATCATCTGCTTTTCATCCAGCCACCAATGGGGCTGCAGAATCTGCTAACAAAATGGTAGAACAATATCTCAGATGCTACGTCTCCTACCAACAGACAAACTGGACTGACCTCCTGCCTTTTGCTGAAGTGACTTACAATAATTCTGTGCACAGCAGCACCAGTTATACACCTTTCAGAGTGGCCATAGGAAAAGAGTTCAGCCCAATACCTGAATACCCTCAGGTGCCCTCCACTTCTCACACACTTGACCAATGGGTGAGGGGGTGAGAAGAAGTTTGGAGAAACACGAAAACTGCTTTAAAAAAGACTTTTGAAACCTATAAAAAGCAGGCTGATAAAAAGAGGGCTCCACAGAGAGCATTCCAAGTTGGGGAAAAGGTTTATCTGTCAACTAAATATTTACGCCTCAAATTGCCCAGCAAGAAATTGGGACCAAAATTCTTGGGACCTTTCCCCATCGTAAGGATCATCAACCCCGTCATAGTAGAATTGAAACTCCCTAGGCTTTTAGGGAGGATTCACCCTGTCTTCCATTGCAGCTTTTTAAAACCTTGTCAAGGTTCCATCTTAAGACCTCCCCCTAAGGAGGCACCCAGGCCCCTCATAGCTGCGGGACACACCCACTATGAAGTGAAACATATTCTTGAGTCTAAAATTTTTAAAGGGAAATTGCAGTACCTAGTACAACAGGTCTGAAGCCACCTGGGTGAAATCTAGTGAGGTGAAAGCTGACAGACTCATCAAAAGGTTTCATGCAAAATACCCCAACAAACCAAGGGATAATCCCTGACATATGTTTTTGTTCACATACAGGACCTATCCTTTTTGTAAGGGGGGGATGGATGTGAACGCTGCTAATATTGGATATTATTGCTTTGACAAGATATGCAGAACTGACTGGTATTTTTAGAGTTAATTCAGATGATGGCGGGGGGAGAAAGATAAGGACTGCACGCGGGAAGGGAACAGAAGTGAATCTTTGCCCTCCAGGTTGATTGGAAAATGTGAATGATGACTGCAAAAAGAGGGCGGGGAATAGCCTGGAATGTTATGTGCAAAGGAAGGGAAATTCAGATCTTGGTATCCATCCATGTAGTACCAACACTCTGTTACACTGTAATAAAGGCTTTCTAGGATAAACAATGCCTGGAAGTTCTTTGAAGTGTTTCATTAGTCGGAACCTTGACAACATGCCAAGATGAACAAACTTCTCAAACCATTTAGGGGTCCCGAGCCCCAGTTGCTGTTCCTAAAACAAATAATATTTCTAAACATAAAATATTGTTATGGTAAGCCTTCCATATGTATGTATGTGTTGAATATATATCTATTCCTTAGATTTATATACATTTATAAACTCATATTCCCAATACTGGAATATCTATTAAGTACCTTCTATAACACAATCCCTGTGAACTTTCAGTAATTTGCCTAAGACTGGAAGAAAAATTAGCGTGTGACTTTAACAGTCCTGGTTTATGATTATTTTTGAATCAGAGTATTGTATCACCAACATCAGGATCAGAATTAAGGAATTTAGGGTGATTTATATTAAACTAGCTGTCAGCTGCTTCTTCCCAGAAAGCTTTTTTTAAATTTAATAATTTATAAGTTCTTTTATCTAAGATTTCCTCTATTAATAGTAAAATTATCATCCAAATTAGCAATTGAATGCTAAGTTAGATAATCATATATGGTCTGTCAGAACTTCAAGAGTCTCATTAAAATTATTGCACTTTCTTTACCAACCTTTCAACCATTTTGAATTATATATAGCTGTCCTCAGGTGTGGTTGGTCTCCAAGACTCCGGTAAATGAGTTGATCTAATCCTCTGATGCCTACTGCTGTGGCAGAATATAGACTGCCATCTTTGGAGTGGGGAAAGAAAAGAAAAAAATAATACAATTAAATTTTATCATACATGAATGAAATGATTTGTTGTAAAACTATTTTTGTCTATCTTTTGAGATTCTGGATTTAATAATTTAAGATCATAAGCTGGTTCTTTTTGCATCTGGAAACTTACCTGAAGTGTGGCCCCTTTAAAGACAGTCTTTATGATTTCTGCTCACTTATATCAGACATGTCAAACACAAGGCCCAGGGGCTGGATGTGGCCCGTGAAGTGGTTTCATGTGGCCCACGAAGCCATCCTGGAAACAGTGAGGGAATGGCCCCTGCTGCCTTGGCCCTGGCCCAGGCCGGGAGGGAGCCAATGTACAATTTTGTGGTGGCCATCTATGGTGAAACACATTCAGTCTTAGCTCCACAAGGCCATCTGGAAACAGCAAGGAACCAGCCCTTGCCATGTCGCCCCCCCCCCCCCGGGTGCATGATGAGGAGGAGTCACTCTTTGTGAGGAATGAAGAAATGCACCATCGCCTGGAAGTGGCCAGCAAATGGCCCTGGCCTACTTCACATATCCAGATTGATGGGCTCTGGGGGAGGGGTTTTGGCAGGCAGTGGGATGCTCTTCTCACAGCACCGAGAGGCTTAGCCGGGTGGCACAAATCTGATGAGAAGTGCAGTGCTACCTAGCCCTCAGCCTGCCCAGTTTCAGCAGGCAGCAAGGTGCAAAGCTAGCGAGCTTTGCACCGCCCGGCTTAACCTCTCGGCACTGTGAGGAGAGTGCCCCACTGCCTGCCGAGACTGGGCAGGCTGGGGGCTGGGCAGCATTGCGCAGGTAATGACTCTCACACTGCTCATGGCATCCCCTCCCCCAGAACCCACCAAGCCAGATATGTGAAGTAGGTGAGGGCCATGTGCTGGCCACTTCCAGGCGATGGTGCATTTCTTCATTCCTCACGAAGGGTAATACCTCCCCAGCTGCGTTTCTTGCCTGTTTTTCTCCCTCACTAATTTCAAATATTTTCCCACCACTCTATACTTAGGAAGGAAGAAAAGAAAGAAAGGAGAGGGAGGGTCTGAGGGAAGTCCTGCCTTAGTCCTGTCCTGCTGTCCTTTCACCATCCCCTTGTCCCCTCCTCCTGGCCTATCCTGGGGGTCTCCCATCCTATTGCTAAGGAAGCTTTGGATACAACGCTGGGTATCCTCCCATTGAGAGGGAATGGGCCTCCCTCTGACTTTGCCCTGGTACCCATCATGAACAACCTGGCTAAGGAGAGCAAACCCAGCAGCAGCAGCCTTGAGGAGGTAAGTGCTGGGCACCCCCTTGGGGAAGTGGGGCTGGGCTTGGTGCTGCGGGTACTCGAGGGCCAGGCTGGGAGTTTGATCTCTGCTGCCCACTACTCCGGGCAGCCCACACCACCATCCAGCCCCCCCCCACATGGCCTGAGAGGAACAGTGAGGCTCCTCCAGTGGACCATGTCTTGGCACTTGTCCTGGTCCCACCCCTTCTGCCAGAGACCCTCAGATCTGTCCCACTCCTGCCCAGACCCCCACAGGCACCATTGATGTGAACGATGTAGAGCTGGCAATGCCCACCCAGTAGGCCACACCCACTCCATCCATGCCCACCCAGAAGACCACACCCACCCTGGTCACACCCACCCAGCCCCCGAAGGCAACCACAATGCTGATGTGGCCCTCAATGAAATTGAGTTTGACATCCCTGACTTATATCAACTAAATTTGATTCCATTTTTGTTTAGGTAATAACAATAATAAAAGTACAAATGGAAGAAAATTTTTCAAATAAAAACAGGCAAATACTTATTCACTCACCAAAAAAAAGGTAGCAAGAAAGATCATGACCAATTCAAGAGTGGATTTGGATGCCCATTTAGAGATTGTTTGATAATTAAGATAGTTGTACTCTAGATAGTCTAATGTTTTATTATATTTTATTTTATTTCAGCATCCATTTTAGTTCTTGTAATCAATGGAAGACTTTTACATGAAAACTATTATCTTGCTGTCCAAAAACCTGCACTTATTCCCAAATAAAATATTTAATATCTAATCAGGGCTAGTTTTTCATGTAACTATGATGAGGGATATATATATGATCAAGAGTTTGATTTATTTGACTTCCAGAAAAGAAATGACAGACTGATGGCTTCAAGGAAAGAAAGTTTTAAAAAAAAACAAAAAAAACACACCAAGTTTCAGAATATTATTTAAATGTATTAAAGACCGAGATTGTTAGAAGTAAAAAGAAGTTGGTTTATCTGATCAAGGTTAACATAGATAAGTTGTCATCTCTAGTTAATAAACTTTTGACATCAGGACCAAAATGAAAAGGCTTTCAGGATTTATTTATAAATAAGAAATGGAAAATGGGAAGAGAAGTTATTGCATTTTAAGAGAAAATGATAAAGTACTAAAATTGCTTATGTTTGTGATGAAGGGGAAAGTAATTATTTATATATTTTTTCCTTTACTATATTCTAACTTTGGTGTCTTTGGTACTCTTCTGAATGTAGTTATTTTCTTGAAGAGATTTGGGTTTGCTCTCACTTTATATATTAGTGGCTTCCCCTGTCAGTGTTGATGGAAGTGGTCATGTGGTTCCTTGATTGGACTGTTGTTTGCTTTTAGCTTGTTTATCTGAATTGATAGGGATATTTTTTGATTCTTTATTGTTAGTCTAATACTAATCTTGGTGTTAGTATCTACCTATCTGGGTGTTCATTGCTGATGAGGAGGTTTTTGGTCTTTTCCTTTTTGGCTTTTTGATTTTCTCTTTTGAATGATATGTAGAAGTTGCTTGTCTTTATGTTTCTGTTGGTGGCTGATTTGTCTGCGTGCCATGTTTACAGCAATTCTCTAACATGTTTCGGCTTTGTTTGGTTAATGATGTTCACAATTTCCCAGTGGTTAAGATGTCACGTTAAGAAGTTTTCATCCTATTTTTCAAATGCTAGCTGGGATTCACAGATGTGATCTGCAAGTCTTCTGTTTATTGGTCTTACATAGTGGCTGTTGCAATCGCTACATTTCATGTTGTAGATGATTCCTGTTTTGTTTTGTTTTTTCTTCTGGGACTATTTGGTCTTTTGATTTACTTAGGATGTTTTGGAGGGCTTTAGTTGGTTTATATGCTACAGTGATACCATGTAGCTCTAATAGTCTGTTGGTGGTTTCTGAGATGTTTTTGATGTATGGCAGTATTATTCTTTTTAGGGCTTTTGTTGGTTGTGCTGTATTGGCTTGAATGGTTAGGCACTTTTTGATGACATGGCATGATATCCATTGTGTTGGAAATGTTGCATAGACAATCTGTTTCCTTTTTCTAATGTTCAGGGTTGCTGCAGTGTGTTTTTGCTCTTCTAAATATATTCTTACACAGCTTGTCTTGTGGGAGATTGGGTTGTTACTTTGGTGGTGGAGTCCTTGGTTGGTGTGGGTAGTTTTTGATATTTTCTAATTTGCCATCACTGTCTCTGCTGATGAGGATATCCATAAAAGGTTGTGTGATTTTTTCTTACCAGTAAATTTTATTCCTTTGAAGATGTTGGTGGTTTCATGTGTGCCCTCTAGTTGGTCCTTTTTTATTATGAGAAAGGTGTCCTCTACATACTAAACTGATACTTTGGGTTGGATGCATGGGAATGGTATAGGTTCCAGGTTTTTTTTCCTGCACCTTCTGTTTTTTTATTCTGTTCTTTGTAGTTTGTATTAGTTTTTATTGTTGTAACTGTAATTTTTAATAAAATCACTTTAAAAAGAGATGATTAGTTTATTTATTGATATCACTCTAATTGTATCAGCAATTACAAAGCTGAGAAGAGTAGTGGAGAAGCTGGAAGAAGAGGATTAATAAGTGGATACTTATCAGAGCATAACATAACATACCTATGACATATGGGAGAGTGGTTTGCTTTATCTGAAGGGGGAGGGAAATTACACTGTCCTCTTCAACATATTCTCTTTAGCAACTTAATAACTTTTAAGTAGGTTAAGTTTTGACTTGCCCCATTTTTGGAATGGGAGCATAACCTACTATATACAAAAATCAAATGTATTATTTACAAAGTTAATATCATAACATCCATCTTTTTATTTACTCTTAACATACCAGAAAATAATGCAATATTTGATTCATCTTGATCCAAGGGGCACTTCCCCCTTCCATCAATAGTTCCCAGAGGTTCAAGATTTTCTACCTGAAAAGAATAACAAATAAATGGAATAACCCAATCTAATAAGATCAAAGATGTTGGTCATAGAAAGTTACATAGTTGGTTTAGTATTCTTTTCCTTCTGCTGAGGGAAAAAGTGATTTTTGGTAGTCTCCTCTGTCTCTTAGAAATCAGAGCAGTTGCATTCAGGAGACCTATTAAATTTTAAAGACTCTTTAAAAAGGCTTAAAATTCTCCTCCTTCAGGAATGGCCACCTCCACTTGAAATAAAGGAATGTGTTTCACTTGAACAACTTAATTAATTATGAAGGCCATTTTCTTCTCATTACAGCATTATAGGGAGGCAGGTAGAGAACATCAGTGCTCCAGTCTGTTTTTTGTTCAGAAAATTAATTTAATTTAAATTAACTTAAATATGAGAGATTCATTGAGATTTGTCCTTCAGATTTGCATCTCATAATTCATTTGGCCTGGATTAAACCACCATTCAAATAAAATCTCATACCTTATAATTCCTGCAGGAAGGCTTAAAGGCATTTGTCCCACAAACAAATATTATATCATCATTTCTTTTGATGAGAACTTTAATAAAATTACGACATTCTGTCTGGGATAGGAGGAGGGAGAATAAAAATAAAATATGATTTTTCTTTAAGTAAAATGTTCTTAACAAAATTTAAAGAAACAAGATTATAATGATTGCCATAAAGTAGCTATTCTATAGTTTAAAAACATTTTTTTCAAAAAAAAAAAACATATCAGGGAATCACGTATTATGAGAAAGACTGCTTTCCTCTTTTCCCCTCTACTTGAAATGTTGAGAGGCATATCCTATCTCTGTCCAGAATGAATAGAGTAAATATTTTAAGTTCTCCCTCTCTCTCCTTCCTTCCCTCTCACCCTCCAAAAAGTAAAGCAAGATTGGGTAGATAAATGTTTTAGGCTACTGAACATATCATTGAGGGTAATCTTATTAAACAGCAGCCACAGGAAGGTTATCTGATCAGATCATGACTATCAGGCTGGACTGGACTAGTGAGATTGTACTTGCCAAAAACTTGTCTTCCTGGTATAATAACCCAATATTTCCTTAATTTCCAATTTCTTTCCAATGTGTAAAGATAAAGAACACTGTCTCTGAAAACGTGACATTTAATTTATTGCGAAATGTATTAGAACATGAAGTAAATGTGAAAATCAGATCATAATTAAGGATATTAACCCTCAACAAGTAAGTCAATTTGTACTAGAATTTTCCAATGTCCTATGTAATTAATGTTATGTCTTGATAAAACTCAGAGGAGAACAAATATTTAAAGATATAATTATTATCATACAAGAAATATATTTGCATATAGATCATCCAGAAAAACAGTAATAAATAGAAGCCATTATCACAGGGTGGCTGGACCAAACTGATTTTAAAAAAAAACTAACCACAATGCAATTCTAAAGTAAAGGTAAAGGTTTCCTTGTCAGTGCTCATCTCCATGTTTTGGCTGAGGGAGTCAGAGTTGTCTGAAGACATTTCCATGGTCATGTGGCCAGCATGGCTATATGCCAAAGGTGCACAGAACATTTTCCCACCAAAGTCGTAACTATTAATCTCCTTTCATATGCATATTTTCAAACTGCTAGGTGGACAGGATTACATTGTAACTCTATGATACATTGCAACTCTAGAAAAACTGAAAACTGCCTACCTCTTTTTTCCCTAATATTTTGCATTGTTCTACATCTTCATCAGTAGGTTCCCATATCAATTTCTATAAGGATAAAGAAAAAAATATCTATAAAAATTGATTATAGTATACAATGTGTATTGGATCTCATATTAGCAATTAACATGATTAACAGAAATACACTTCAAGAAGAAAAGTTCCCAAGCTCCCTGCTTAACTGTGCTTGGTGGTTATAGTCAAAACTTAGGAGCTCATAATAAAATGTGCTTTAAGGATTACAGATGTCCAAAATAAGAAAAAAAAAGAAAAGAAAAATCCTCGTTTATAATTTAGAAAGCCAAATTACAGAAGAAACCTCTGATTGAGATCTCTTTGGGCAAAACTATCAAGGGTTGGAAATTGGAGATTCAAGCATACTCAGAGAGAAGTCTTCTGAATTTACTGAAGGGCTACCAATTAAATGCAAGTAAAATTGAAGCCACAGTTTTTTAATTAATCAATATAAAGATTTGCTTAACATAGCATCAGTGAGGAAAAAGAAAAGGCATATTAAATTATATTTCCTCTTGCTTAAAATTCCAGCTGTCCTGGCACTGCTTCCAAGTAATACTGTATATATACCATTTTTGTCCATAGTCCTGTAGATGTTATATCATCAAGACTTCTCCCATCTAATGGTTCCTCACATTTTAAGCTGTTCATTAGATAGAATGATACATACTTTAGTCGAAACAATGTTTTCTTCCTGTGATGCATCCAAGTCAATACCAAAAACCTGGTCCCTACAAATAAAATAAATGCTTATTTATGTTTGATATTCCAGATATTAGTGAGTATCCTTTCTTCCTCACAGACTTTTCAATTTATATCACTTTGACAGATAGGTCAGTTCTGTGACTGTTAACTCAAAGATTCCTACATATAGAATAGTGATATATCATGTCTGTTGATTTGAGAACTAAGTTTAGTATTACCCCTTCCATATTATCTGATACTTATGGCTTTCATCTTTTGTTGGCTGGAATGTTTTCTATGTCTCATGACATGCTTAATTTGCTTATTTGTTTGCTTAGTTTATTTAATTAGTTTTCATCTCAATTTCATTCAAGAACTCAAGATGGTATGAATAGCCATCCCTCCTCCTATTTTTCCACATTGTTAAGTAGGCTCTGATTGTCTGATTGTCACAAAGTTGCTAAGTGTGCTTCCATGCTGAGGATGGGCTAGAATTCTGACTTTCTGCTCCAGCACTCTTATCACCTGGGTAATGCCAGATTCTGCCACAATAGTGAGTAGAATCCAAAGTATGTTTCTGCTCCTAATTTAGGAAAGATCCCAACACAAAGCAAATTCACAAACAATCAAAACTCTGTATCAATGAGAAACAAACTTAGAAGAGAAAACTAACCTTGTATGGAATGTCATGTAGTAAAAAAAAGAGGAGAGAGAGAGAGAGAGAGAGAGAGAGAGAGAGAGAGAGAGAGAGAGAGAGAGAGAGAGAGAGAGAGAGAGAGAGAGAGAGAGAGAGAGAGAGAGATGGAAATATATCGATATAAAAGAATGAGAAACCGGCATTCTAGGAAACAAGCCACTAGCTCAAGACTATCATTAATTCTTATAAAAAAAAATTCCTCAAATCTTCCCATAAAAATTCTTAGGATATAAGAAAAGAAGGTGGATAGTAGATACCAATTCCTTGTTTAGAAATGTGCATAGGAAATAGCAGGAATCTTCCTGGAAAATTAAAAGAGTGCTAGAAAGCACCTTTGTCCTCTTGCCTCTGGATATTTTCTGATAGGATGTCTTTACTTAACATAACAGAATTAAAAGGGACTTTGGAGGCATTCTAGCCCAACACCCTTTATCATTCCAGACAGATGCTGTCCAAACTCTTTTTAAAAACCTCCAGTGAGCATGCAGCCACAACTTATGTAGGCAACTCGTTCCACTGTCAGGAAATTTCTTCTTAGCAGTAGGTTGGATCACTCTTTAATAAATTTCCACTTGTTGCCTTGTCTTGCCCTCATGTGCTTCGGAAATAGGTTGACCCTATCTCCTTTGTGACCCTCCCTCAAATAATGGAAGACTGCTATTATGTCACCACTAGTCCTTCTCTTTGTTAGACTAGACATAGCCAGTTCCTGCAACAATTCATCATATGTTTTAGCCTCCAGCCCTATAAGGCTAGGTGTCACCTAGGTGTCCATTATAATTATATTATAATATCCAATTCATTACTTCATTAGAATTTATTAATTGATTAAATGTATATCTCATGTTTTGTCTCAGAGTTCAAAGCAGCATTAACAATTTTCTCTTCTCTGTAAACTTAGAAATAGTGTCTAGCCAAAATTATCAAAAGTTTTCAAGGCTTAGAGTAGACCTAAACCTGGATTTCCTGATCTAATGTGACCATTTCAGCATTCTGTAAACTTCCTGTATGGCAGTCTTGTGCTCAAAATTTCAATAATGTTTGCCAGCATAAAAGATGTGACTTATCATAGAGGATTGGATCTTTCTTCTCTGTGCATAGCAGGATAACTAAAAGGGCAAAAAAAAAATTGGCTTTGATATGTAGTATTATGAGCTACTCTAAAATTCTCATAGGAAAGGACAATCTGTTGGAATTTTAGTGCTGATTTTTATTTCCTCTCATTTTTCTATGTGAGTAGTAATATCTGTTTCTTGTCCTGAGTAGAAGTTGGATTGCAAATAAAAAGCATTTCATTTACAAAGGTATAAATTACAATATCCTTTATAAAGGAACCAGAAATCCTTTTTCATTTCAGCTCTATCTTGTTTTAAAAAGAAATTAAAGAGGAAAACAAAAAAGGAAAGCTCAGTCCAGGTTAGTTTAGACAGATTGATTTGTTAATTAGAATAAAAAGGAAGACTTTAACAGGGAACTGACATAGCACCAATGTAAAGAGTTCTATCCAGTATCATGACTGTGGGATAATATTGTATATCCTGATCTCTGTACTTGCTTCTTTGCTCCATAAATAATGGATAATTCATTGTATCTGTGAAAAGAGAGAGGAGGGTAAAAACTGGAGAATGGTTAAACTCTTTCACTGAAATAACATTAATATAGTCAATATCAGTCATTTCCTATGTGACATATTCCAAGTGTACTGAAAGTGCAGCTCCCAGAATTCTTTGCTATTAATGCCTTTCACAATAGCCAATCTGGGTTGGTCACTAGGACCAGAGGTTTTGTTTTCCAAGCTTTTGGACTCGGACTCAAGCCCATCCTCGGATATTTTTTCTTTAGTAGAGTGTATGTCAAATAGACAAAAACTCTGGTCTCAGTGACCCAGTCCAAATTGGATTCTACAACATTTTTTGGGGACGTGTATATTTGCCTTAATTTGCATTTCACAGTCTTTCCAGGGAAACGCATCCCTAGGACACTTGATTGGAGAAAGTTGGTGATGAAGTCTTTTGTCAGCTCTGTATATTGGGGAATTAGAATCGGGAAGGGCTACTTGCTACTTGGTCATAAACCTCTAAGATTTGATCAGCTTTCAGTGTCTCTTTGTCTTTGACACGGCAGAAATCTCTGATAGAATGACAGGATTCAATAAATTACAAGAAACAAATCTTTTAGATAATCATTTCAGTACTTATATTCTTTATGCTTGCATTCTCAACAGAATGAATATCTAGTTCTTTATAGCAAGTTTTTTTCTTTCATGTATTGTGCTATCTTTGTAAGAAATAAAATGTTAGATTTGTCTCATTTGCCCATGCTTTTCATGCATATATTTGATCAACACATATTTAGCAGAAACAAAGAGAATTTAGTAATGTGGGGGCTTTTGTGCTCTCTGAGTTGATGGTTTTCTTGTAGAAGTTTTATTACTAACCTACGTAACATCAGTGTTATGATTGCTAGGTAATGAAATGTTTGCAAGAAAACTACCAAGCTCAAAAAGCGTCAAAGTTTTGTTGGATTAGCCAGTTAAAAATTCTAGAATAAAACAATAAATAGCAAATAAAATCTACATTAACCCCATAGTTCAACCTGAGCCACAAACATTATCTTCTATTTGTAGAATTCAATAGGAATGAGCAATTTTTTAAATTCCTGTTTTCACCAAATTTCCCATTTTGCCAACTAAAAGTCTCACTTGGCCACAGTTTCTGCATCAGGTGAAATACGTACTGTATGAGAAATATGTACCAAATATTTTGTACACATTCTGTGCATTTTTCACTAGGATAGATTCCATTACATATTGATATTAATATATTTTGTCTGTGCTTTTCTAAAAGATTCATTTTTCTACCCCATTTTTCATACTCACAGTTCAAATGCACACTGTTGATTGGAATATAATTTGGAATACTGAAGTATAGTAATGTAAAGAACACAATCACAATTTGTGTTATCATTGGTGGAGAATTTCCTTTCAACCTGTGAAATACAAAAGGCCTTTAATTTTTACCATCTCCTTTTAAATATGAAAAATCTTCAGCTATAGCTTGCAAAGTCCATGAACAATGATTAATAGATCAAAGAAGATTCATTACCAAAAATAAAATATTCAGGGATATAGAATTGGTTTCAAAAAATGTGAAAATGGAAGACTAAAAAGCAATAATAGATTAGTAGAGCAACTTAAATAACAAGAAATGGAAATAGAGTTGAAAAAGCTGATATAAAATGATAGCTTACAAAGACAGGCCCTGAAACAACCCATGAACTGATACCCCCACACACATAAGAAGAAAAAATTACAACATATGCAGAATTACTAGTAGAAAGACAAAGACTGCCAGCACTGACAGTAGTGTCTAAAAAAGACATGATATAATATAATATAATGTAACATCTATTGACTACACCAATCAGATTGCCTACAGTAGTGATGGTTTCAGAAGCACTGGGTATCAAAAATAGAAAACAAAAATTATATTCAATCCTAAAGTGGAAGATTAGACTAGAGGGCAAAATTAAAAAAAAATAAGATCTCATGCATGTAATTAAAAAAAAAACATGAAAGAGCAAAAATTGAAGAATATAAGTTCAAGACGAGCCTAATAGAAATATTGCCTAACCACCAGAAAAATGGAAAAAAATTGGAAATTGTAACAGATAACAGCAATAGCTGGGAAAGTTAAATGTTATGAGGCACAAATCAAGTAAAATCTGTTATTTCAATCAGACTACTAAAAAAATTAGACTATTAATAAGGCAATGAAAGACAATCAGTGTTTAGAAATGAAAAATATGGGATTGTCAACATTATAAGGGATATCTTCTAGGGTGACTCATTATTACCCTTGTTACAAAAATTAAAAGGAAAGTTGATAAATATAAAGCTTGGAAATGGCATACAATAGAACATAAAAAAACAACATTTGTTTTTGGCTGTGTAAGAGCAAGCTATTTAAAATAATGCAATCAAGATCAGAATTTTAAAAAATCATGGGCTTCCGGTTTTGATGTCATGTCAAAACAGACACAGGAAAACGAGGCTCCATCTTTCATGTTTTATTTCACCTGCTGGGGGACCCTGGAAAGAGTCTAAAGTCACCCCATAGAGACAACAAGCAAGGAGGGGACGCTCTTTGATCACGAGGGGGCATCAGCCCTTCCATTTGATCTGAGGAAGCCCTCCAAACCACTAGGGGAAAGACTGTCTACATTCATGTAGCCAGCCAGAAGCTGCTGTCAATGGAAGACAACAAGCACTATCAAGCAGTCTTATAGCAACATGGATGAAACTGGGTGAGACATTATGACTTTAAGACCTCTTCCTGAAAATCTGCCCAAAGCCCTCCCCCCCCTGAGGAGGAGGGAAGTGGAATTTCCACCCCATTCCCTCAGGAAAGTGGCAAATTAATTACTTGGGGATAAAGGAGAAACCTACAAGACTAATTTGGAATTGGAGAAGGAGGGAGGCTGTTTAATGAGTATTAATGGGCTTGTTCTTCCAAAAATACTTTAACTAAATTGTTTCTCTTATCTCAAATAATATACTCAAAAATAGAGGAAGAATTATTTGATGATCCAAATGCATTAACTTGGAAAGTTAGTTGGCAAAGAAAGAAAGCTAGAGTAAGACTGAAGGAAACAGAAGCTTGGACTTATTAGAGGGGATGTTATATTACCACATAGATGTTTTAATATGGTTAAGAATAGATTGCTAGAAATAGAAGTATTATTATAACGAGATAGATAGTATTTGTAATCAGAATATCATATCTTGGTATGAAAAGGGAAATAAGAACATGGTAAGAACTTTGAATAAGGAAAGCTTTTCGTTACCCAAATATAACTTGTTCTGAAATTATAAATGATCGGGATATTTTGAACATGGACGGGGAATTAAAATTTTTAAAAAAGCGAAAATAGGATATAGACTGAATAAATGGATATTGAGTGTAAATGCAATTAAGATATGCTTTGGTTAGAA